ATATATATATATTTTTTTTTTACTTGTGCTGCAAAACTGCGTTTCCTTTCCAGCAGGTAGTATAGAAGGAAGCAAGGTCTGTTATCTACATCTTTGATCTATTTCAGTTTGGATCTTTGCAGTAATGTTCAGACTGCATATTTCCAGATGTTATTTTTGGGGAGGTATTTTATGATCACGTACTATTTTCTGCCGATTAACTTATTTATTAACCCATAGAAATGTTTATACATATTCTTTTTGCTTTTCATAGCATGTGCTAAACTTAATGGAATTCAGAAATCTGACGATTTTACAAGAGTTATTAACAAGGGAAATTTTTGAAGGGATATTAACTCTCATTTCCAAAGACAGCACAATTTGCAGTGTTAGCAAGAACTGATAGTGTAAAATGAGTAACTTGAGGTTTTTGTCTTCTGTCAGGAATCTCATTCAAAACAATTCTTTCAATTGGCCAAGCATTGTCCTGATTTTAACTTGGTCTTCAGGTGGAGTATTCTGTTCCTGTTCTGAACAGATGCTTGTAGTGTGGGGGAGAGCAATGCAAATGAAAAGTTACAGGCTCTTTTGTTTAGTTTTGATGACTTTCTATGTTGGCATTTTCCCATTTTTAACCTCTTCAGACATGAAAATAGTTAGAGCGCTTCTGTTCCCACAGTCCTTCCCTAGACCTTATTTTATACTCTCTTCTTAAGAATATTTAACCTAACCCACATGTTATCTAAGGTTCTTTGAACTGTGCCCAGGTATTCTCAGGCAAAAGCTGAGATATGCCTTCAGCTTTTGCCCTGGTATTGTATTTGTGTATTGAGCCTTCTGTGTAGAGATGTACTGTGCTCTATGAGCTGTGACAGTTCGACTGTTCTGACTTTTTTAGGCACTTCGTCTCAGTAATGTAGCTATGGCAAAAACTACCACTGGTCAAATAGTAAATCTTCTGTCAAATGATGTGAACAAGTTTGATCAGGTAAGAAGTATTACAGGTCTTTCCAAGGGGCTGTAGAAATTGTGGTGTTAGAGTTAAGAAGTTTTTGTTTACAACTAGGGATTGTTTCCTATGAACATTTCTTCTAGCTGTTTCTTAAACATCATAGAAAGAGAAATACTCTCTTAAAAGATGGGAGGAAAACATAGGTTTTTTTCCCCTCGTTAAATATTTTCCCAAGCTCAGAGAAGTATTGGTGCATGAAGATAGAACCTAATCATTGTGGTAATTTTCTACTTTTCTGGAGGTTAGGCACCTCCATGTATATTCAGGTCTCTGAATCTGGTGCAGAATTCTCACTGGGTGCCAGAGTACCTGCTGCAGGCAAAGGTGCTTCCTCAACTTTGTATCACTGAAGTTTAATTTTTTTTTTTTTTAGGTAAGACCAAAAGATAATTTTTCTTCCTTAACTGTTTGCCTAGGTAACGATTTTCTTGCACTTCTTGTGGGCTGGACCAATTCAAGCTGTAGCAGTAACAGTACTTCTCTGGATGGAGATAGGCCCATCATGTCTTGCAGGAATGGCCGTTCTGATTATTCTTCTTCCTGTCCAGACCTGCATTGGGAGGCTTTTTTCTTCCCTGAGGTAAGGTTGCATGTGTTGGGTTGTAGGTATTTTGTATCCTGGGTTTTAAAATGTGCATACTGAGTGGAGGGAGAGTACTGCTTCTGTCTGGTGAGGGTGTATTTTTGCGTTGTCTTTCATCTTTGCACATGTTTTTCATAGATGCTAATGCGAGAATTCTGAATTCCTCTTTAGGAACTTGAAGTGGTCATTTTTCCAGACATGCTGAAAATATCCACTACTGATTAGGTATACTCAGTATACTAGAAGAGCTGGGCTACTTCTGTAGCTTACTTGCTGTAGATGTAGGCAGAAACTCCTTGAGCTTTGCCTTCCTGCATTGATGCTTAAAGAGTGGTTACTACAAAGGCAGTACTGTCAGTCCTACTGTAGGTTTGATTTAATGGGGCAGTACAGGAGTTGCAACAGGAAGCTTTGAAGATTTCATGTTCAAAGATCTTGCTTTCTCTCCCCTCCAAGACAAAGATGCAGAGAGGATAAAGGGGAAGGAACTGAGCGAGAAAGGAAGAAAAAAATCATGATGGTGGTTTTGATGTCAGCTATGAGGTTTCTATCTGTAAGGTTCTAGGCTGTGGAGATACAAAATGAGTTTGCATTAATTATCCATTATCTGACAAATTCAGTTTGTTTTCTCTGACTTCCTCCTAAAAGAAAGACTTGCCTCAAGTGAGAACATTGGCTTATCTTCTTTCTGTGTTCTCACTTTCTAACTTCCTTGTGTATTTAATAATGCTCTACTTACATCGTGAGTTTGTAAATGGTTTTTACATGTAGATGGGAATATGTTTGTGTTTACCGTGTGCACACACGCTTAGTAGTGTTATTCATCTTTGTTTTGTTTTTATTCAGGGTGAATCAGTTCCTTCTAGTTCTTTGAACCAGTGAAACATTTTTTAGCGAGTTACTGTTGTTTTCACATTGTATTTTGAGACGAGTTTGCCAGAGGGGTTGAGACTGTCATTGTCATTGCATGGCTAGGTATGAAGAGAAAGCTGAGAATTTCAAAAGGAGACTTAACTTGTAGATTTCCTTCTATTTGTAATCACTCTGATAGTCTTCAGTCATGTGCTATTTCTCAAATAATGAGCCATTCAGTGTTCTCTGTCAAATTCTTAAGGGTTTTTATGATGAAACCTGTTTGTAGAACACTTCAAATATATTCTTATATGTGCATTTTCACTGCATGTGTAATATGCATGCATAAGTATCAAGCTACTTCACTGTTAGATTTTTTTGAGTTTCAAGTTTTTGAGGTTTTGAGCTTTGAGGCAATAGTTAAAACACTTAGTACTTAACAAGTGCCTTATCCGTGGTGGTAAGCATTATTATCCCCATTTTACAGATGGGAAACTGAGGCACAAAGAGATTAAGAGACTTGTCCAGGGTCAGACAACAAGGTGACAAAAATCTCTTCTCGAAGGTATGTATTTTTAAAGTTAAGCAGTGGCAGTGTAATGTTGTTTGGGTTTTTCCCCCATTCATTAGCAGCCACTTGTTTGGATGCAGTGCAAGGGAAAGAATGTTAACTAGAAAAACTTTTGCTTGTCTCTGTGTGCATAAAAATGTGCAGTGAACAGAAGGAGTGGATTCCAGCTCTGTAATGATGAGTATGTTCACATGGCAATTGCTGGGAATCTGCATGGATTTAAGGAAATAGGCCTATAAAAAAGTAATTTAAGGATTAAAGCTTTTGCTAAAATCCAGGCACACTCAGTGTGGCAGCTAATTTGTGCTATTATTCAGCATTATACTTGTGACCCAGTCCTGTAAACACATATGTGCACACCAGCTTATGATGCAGGCATGAACTTCAGTGCTGTAGGAATTTGCGGAAACAAACTCAGTATCTTACAGAATGGTATGCAGCGTATTATGCAGTGTTGCTTTTACCTGCACAGGTGCTAGAAATTTTACAAAATACTCATGACCTAATATATTATTTGAGAAATAGTTCAATTACTGGACTGAAGACCATTGTATATATATTTGTTCAGAAGAACTCAATCCTTCCACTGCGTAGCCATGCAACTGTAATAGTCTCATTTAGAACCCTTTTAATTTCTTGTAAGGTAAAATCTATCACTTGTGACAGACACGATTAAAACTGACCAAATATGCCTCATGAAAGCAAAAAGGAATTCTGCAGCTTGCTAAATTTAGAATGGTTATGAGTGTCATAAAGGGGACTTCTCAGACACTTGCAGAAATGTGAACAACATAGGCTAAATTTCACCTTTTGCAGTGCTGGAGAGTGTACGGGGAGGAAAGGATGAGCTTTCTCAGACTTCGAGGAGTTGTTTTTCTTATTACTGTCCCTTTCTGAAA